AAAAAAAAAAAAAAAGCCGATAGACTCTTGCGAAGATCTCTTGAATAAGGAAATTATTGAAACAGTCTCAAATAGTCCGTCTACTAAAGATTTAATCATCGAAGACCAAGTACCAGCGTACTCTAATGAAAATAATGAAAATATTGCTCGTTATGAATCTGAACAAGAAAAAAGTGAAAATCTGAATGCTGCTCAGTCACTAGTACAGATGTCTGAATGCATCGATCATAATATTAACTTTGTTGAAATTGAATCTGAAAATAAAAAAGAGGCTAGCCCCACTGAGACTAGTAAACCGAAAAAAACAGTAACCGCAGATATCGCGATAGAACCAAAAGTATCTTTATTAACTAAAAAATCAACAGTTGAACAATCTAATGGAAAATCGGTTTCCTATAACAAGTCTTCTAGTAAACTATTGAAAATATTAGAAAAACCAACGACACCAAAACTAGCACCCAATAAAACTATTATAAGTAAACGAGTCATCATGCCTGGCAAAGAGAAAATCCTAAATTTCGATGTTGGCAAACAATCCTTTAAGGGGAAACCGCAAGCGATCAAACAGAATATAGTTATCAGGAAATCTGGGCCTCCTAAAAATATATTGAATAATATCAGTGAAGTTTCTAACCTCAATAAAATTATCCTGTCCCGCAGCAATAAACCTATCCAAGACGGATCCTCTGTGCAAACATATACTATACAAACGCCCGTAGAACCTTCTGCTGATCCAAATACTATACTTATACAACCAAAAAATAGGAGAATTCCCAAGACACTAACAAAAATACAGAAAATAAAACCGCAAACCCAAACATCATTTGTTGCGCACATTAAAGAAAAAAAACTAATTAAGGAAAGTGGAAATGATGAACCCATGTTCGACATAAATTCTATGCCCATTGTATTGTCTGATGATATACTGACGCCGGAGAGCATCGAGAAAATGCCTATTGTAATGTCCGACGCCAATATTATAACTAATTCTACAAATAACACAAAGATGAAAACTAAAACTATTGTAGACAGCGAGAAAATAGCTTTGAGTACAGTAACTTCTAAAGCTGTGAGTCCTATAACGAACAAAGCAGAAATCAAAACGATGGTTATGAGTCCATCGAGTGACGCCGCCAAAGTTACAACCCCCAATATTCTCTCTAAGTCGGCAAAGTTGCGCGGCACTAAACCTATGTTAGTTATAGAGAAGGCCACGGGAAAAAAGAAAATTATATTGCCCCAGCCCGAGTCGGCGGTCAAGGAAGCGAAGCAATCTCACACCCCCACTCTCGTGCCATCCGTCTCACAAAGCGGGGGGAAAACTGAAAAATACATCATTCTGCCTTCGACGAACGCCCCCCGCGCCACGCGCACGCAGAAAATAGTCATAGACCCACAAACAGGCAAAGCGCACATGTTCCTAGCTAAGGGAACCGAAGGTTTGACAGTCACCGACAACAAAGCGGTCTCCGCTAAATTGATACAGTCTTCGGAGAACACCGCGCCCGGCAATACCGTCATGATTATAACAAACTCACAAGGCACCCAGTCTAAGATCGTGTTGACGCCGGAGCACGAAAAGATATTGTTTCCCCACAAAGCGAATGTATCGCAACTGAAAACAGTTACGCAAAGAATTACAACAAATACAAGCATAGTACAGAAGCCGACGGTGACGACGGCCAACGCCGCGAAGGGCCAGGCGAGGATTGTGCCCAGACACAAAGGTACAATTATCACATCAAAGGGTCAGCTAATCGTCGGGGGCCTCGTGCCCTCCGGAACCACCAACATAGCCCCGATGCCAGAAATCAGGCCGGCGCTGAAGCGTATCATACCGGCCGAGACCAAGAAGATTGTGCACACGACACACGTGCCAAAGGATTCTTCTGAGCAGGTCCTGTTTTATCAAAGAAAACCTGGCACCTACATGCAACTGACCGCAGCACAGTTTGAACATTTACAAAGGACAGGGCAGCTTATATCAAAATCGCCCATCACCCAAGAGAATAAAGTTATAATTCAAAAACCTATGG